CGAACAGCTTCCGCGTCTCCTGCAGCCGGGACGGCGGGTGCGGCGGTGGAGCCGGCTGCGGGAGACGCGGAAGCTGTTCGAACGGAGTGTCCCCGCGGCCTCGGGTGGCGACAAGGAGGCCGCGGCGCGGCGGCTGCTGAGGCAGGAGCGCGCCGGCCTGCAGGACCGGAAGCTGGACGTCGTGGTGCGCTTCAACGGCAGCACCGAGGCGCTGGACAAGCTGGATGCTGACGCCGTGTCGCCGACGGTCAGCCAGCTCAGTGCGGTCTTCGAGAAAGCCGACTCGAGGACCGGCCTCCACCGTGCGCCCGGGCCCCCCCGGGCGGCGGGGGCACCCCAGGTCAACTCGAAGCTGGTCAGTAAGCGGTCCCGAGTGTTCCAGCCACCGCCTCCGCCTCCTGCCCTGTCGGGGGAAGCCGCGACCGAGAAGGAGCGTGGCCCTGGAGGGCAGCAGCCCCCACAGCACCGGGTGGCCCCTGCCCGACCGCCGCCTAAGCCGCGGGAGGTGCGCAAGATCAAGCCGGTGGAGGTTGAGGAAAGTGGGGAATCTGAGGCCGAGTCGGCTCCCGGGGAAGTGATCCAGGCCGAGGTGACCGTCCATGCAGCCTTGGAGAATGGCAGCACCTCGGCCACCACAGCTAGCCCCGCACCCGAGGAGCCCAAGGCCGAAGCGGTCCCCGAGGAGGAGGCAGCGTCGGTGGCAACGCCAGAGAGGGGGTTGGACAATGGCCGGACCCCGGACGTGGCACCTGAGGAGGTGGATGAGTCCAAGAAGGAGGACTTCTCAGAAGCAGACTTGGTGGACGTGAGCGCCTACAGTGGACTCGGGGAGGACTCTGGGGGCAGTGCCCTAGAGGAGGACGATGAGGAAGATGAGGAGGACGGGGAGCCCCCCTATGAGCCGGAGTCAGGGTGTGTAGAGATTCCTGGTCTCTCAGAAGAAGAAGACCCGGCCCCGAGCCGGAAGATCCATTTCAGCACCGCACCGATCCAAGTGAGTGATCCCCCTCGGGCCCCCCGCGCTGCCTCTGCCACGTGCAGAGTGGTCGCCCCCGCCCAGACATCCGTGTTTGGCAGGCTGAGTCAGCCCCTGCCACCCAGCCGGGTTCCCAGAAGTTCCCGCAATGAGGGGGGCGTGGGGAACTTCCAGCTGTTTGTCAGAGTGGGAAGGTTTTCAGGTCTGTGATTGTGAAGGTGGCCTGCTGCGACCTGCCCTCAGGTTCCTCGCTTGCTGCCCCGCCCAGCATCCCACCCTGTCCCACGCCTACTCCGGGACACCTGCTCTCTCTTCCTCCCCCAGACATTCTTTCTTCCTGAGGCTGCCAGAGGCTGGGACTTGGCTGGCCTGAAGAGGTGTGGGACGTGTCCTCGGGATATGTAAGGCCTACTGTCAGCAGAGAAAGATGGGGAGCTTAGGGACACTTCCTGCTTCTGGATCTATAAGGCTGGTCCTGCCTGGGATGAGAGAGAGGGGAGCTAGGAACTTCCCAAAACAGAGATACAGGGGACTACAATCCTTCCCTGTCAGTGCCCCCACCCCGACTTTGGAGAAGTGAAAGAAGGAAGAAGGCTGTGAGGGTGAGCTGGGCCATGGCCTTGTGACTGGGGCTGGGGGAGAGACCCTACACCTCAGGGTCTGGGCTATGCCAACTTCCCATGTCTGAGTTGCACCTGAAGGAGACGTCTTATGTGGCCCTTGAAGGACCAGGCCTTCTGCAGGCACCACAGGAAGAGGGTGGTAGTTCTGGGAGTTCCCCTAAGGTGCCTGGCAGACTTAAGTGCCTAGAACCTTGTAAATCCTTCCCCTTTCCGTTTTCCCTGGGTACTTTAAGAGGATGGGGGCTTGCTTGGAAGGGGGTTCAGCCCCCCAGTCTCTAACACCACTGTTGGTGATTGGTTTGTGGGCTGTGCCAGTCAGTTCTTTGAGATGAGAGTGGTGTTCCCTGGGGAGAATTTAGAACAGTGCAGGAGACCACTCCCACTTCCCACTGCCCTGTGAGCTCAGCTGGCACATGGGTCATCTTCTCTCCCCACCCTGTGCTCCTCTGTGCCTAGCACCTGGCCAGCCGGGTGAGTGGCTGTATACAGCACCAGAGACTTTCCTTGGCCTGGACCCTGCCCCTCCTTGCCCTCCCCAGTCAAATCCCTTGTGTTGCTTGCAGTTTCCATAGCTACCGTAGACACCAAAGCTGCCCAAGCTTCTCTCACCCTCTGCCTACTGGTTCCAGGCCAGCAGAGGTCTAAAAGGTTAAGGGTAGCCAACCCCCTCCTCTCTCTGCCCTGTTCCCTTTGGAAGCAGGGGGATCCAGGAAGGAGCAGAGGCCACGGTGTTCTTGGGAGCCTTTCAGAGGCCACTGTGCCATCCCAGTAGGTTCTTTGAGCAGCCCCATGCCCTCACAGAGAGGGAGTGTGGCCTGGGCCTCTATCTATAGCTGACGCCTTACCCTGATTTTTTGGTAAAAAATAGCACATGATTTGGAGCATTGCTCCGGACTCCCTGGTGACTCTGAAGCAAGCTGGCCACTAGCGTGAGAGCCAAGGCGGTGCAGAGGCTGAGTGTCTGACTTTTGGCCTTTCTGGGGCGTTCCGCCTCCTCCCCACCCTGGCCTGGGGCCCCAGCTTTTCTCCACTGCCACTGCTATGCTGATTCTGAAGCCAGGGTTCTCTACCCCTCCCTGACCCAGTTGTCACCATTATGAAGGTGGGGGTATCTACTCGGGCAGAGAATACCGCTCCCAGCTGTCTGCTGAGGAAAGACCCGAGCCTAGGGTGTTCTGAGAGCAGGAGTGACCGGTGGTCTGAGGCCTGCCTGGGATTCCTTCAAGGGGCAGGCTGCAAAAGGCAAACAGGTTGATAGAAGATGAGGGCCAGGTCCATGTTTTGGAAGTCAAAGTGGAGGGGGTGATGGGAAGTGGGGAGGGCTTGGTTGTCTTGGAGAGGGCTAGGGGATGCTATCTCCTGGGTATAAAGGCCAGAGGCCTCAGATGAAAAAGTGGTCCAGGGCAAATTTGCTGATCAGCCTTATGCCATTCTGTGTCCTAAAACTTGGAATAACTTTGCAATGGGGACAAAGTCACTAGTGACCCACCTATTACAGCCCACCTTGAATTTGGTACTATCCTGCCCTGCTACAGGCTAACTAACCCCTTGTGACCTTGGGAAATGGATTATATATGGAAGAGGGAGTCTGTTGATTCAAGGGCCTGGGACCACTGACCAGGTGGCCAGATGTTGGAGAACAGTCCATTGGCCACTGCACAGTATCCGGATGATCATGAGCGACCTGATCCTGAATGTCTGATACTGTATGGTTAAGGGCATTGAGCTAGGTGAACACGTAAACCCCGGCTATGCTTCTGGCCAGACCTATAAGCCTCCTCAACCTCCCCCCATGGCCGTGCACCTCTGTGGTGAGGCTGGAGGTTTGAGATGACATTTAGCAAGCCCCAACAAAAGCTGGAACACAGGAGTAACCCTGCCTACCAGGGTGCCCATGGGCATGCTCCTGAAGCAGAGGAGGCCCCAGCATGGGTCTTACTGGAGACAGTATCTTTCCCTAGTTCCTTCTGGCCCATCTGACTGGTAGAGCTGCCTCTACTCCTCTGCCCCCACTTGACATCAAGTGATGCCAACCTATCACATCTAGCAGTAAAGCCAAACAAACCATGGTCCCCAAAAGGATGCTCATTAAATGCCCAGCATCAGGCACCCACAAAGTCCTGCCTCCTCTTCACTGGTCCTGTGAAGAGGTCCAAGTTAGACCCCTAGAAGGAGAGGGACAGCAGAGGGGCACAGGGGATAGGGCAGAGAGACTGCCACTGCCCCATGGTCCTTGGTCCCTTTGGGCACCAGTCTTGGAGCCTGTGCATGGTTCTTTGGTGCCTGTGGACAGCGGCATCATTCTTCAGGGACACAGTTCTGGCGTGTGGGAGGCCATAGGGGCTCAACTTTCTCCTCCACCCGTGCTACCTGAGACCAATCTGAGAGTTAATGGCATTCCCTTCTCCAAGGGGGTGGAGGGACCCTCTTTGCTTCCTCTCCACCCACCCTGCAAGGCCATCCACTTCAGCAGCTGGGCAAGGAAGGGTCCTGCTACATCTGCCTCTTTCCCCCTCCTTTTCCCCTCCCCCTCCCCATCTGGCATCCTCCAGTGCCTTCTCCATCCTTTCTCCCCTCCTCCTCTTCCCGTCTTCTGCTCAGCCTGTTCCTCCTCTTTGTACGGCTGTGTCTTTGTGTCCACCCTCAGCTGCCTGGCTCTTAGGTCTTGCCTTTTCTTCTTCTCTCTACCTTGGTATCAGAGATTTCCAGACTTTGCAGTCTCCCCAGGAGGGTCCCGTCTAGCACTTCACAGACTATGGAATAGATCTTTTGCTCTCTTGCCCCTGGGCTCTAGAACTGGATTCCTTGTGAGATTGGCGTATAGAAAGGGCCTCAGGCAACTCGACAGGCCCAAGGGCTCTTCCTGCCGGCAGTGTGCTTGTCCTCCCAGGCACCTCTCTGAGGACTGCTTCTCCCCAGGTATTCAGCACCTACTCCAATGAGGACTATGACCGACGCAATGAAGATGTGGATCCCATGGCAGCCTCTGCGGAGTATGAGCTAGAGAAGCGTGTGGAGAGGTTGGAGTTGTTTCCCGTGGAGCTGGAGAAGGGTGAGAGGCCAGGCCACTCTAAGGAGCACACTGGGGACTTTTGTGGTGCTAGCCTCTGTTCTGCCTCCCTTGTGGGTGCCCATATACTGGACTTCTGCCTCCAGCACCTACTGATCGTTCTTGGCATTCCTTGTCAGCATCCATGGCCACTGGTGTCTCCAGTGTATGGCCAAGGAGTGATACTTGGTGAACATATCTCCTATGTACCATGTATGTGGTCCTGGACTCTGTTGGAGGCACAGGGATGGGTAAAAGCAGTCTCCAAGGCGAGAAGTGGTGACACACGCCTTTAATTCCAGCACTCGGGAGGCAGAGGCAGACGGATCTCTGTGAGTTTGAAGCCAGCCTGGTCTACAAAGTGAGTTAGTTCTAGGACAGGCTCCAAAGCTACACAGGGCAACCCTGTCTTGAAAAACAAAAACAAAACAAAATAAAAGAGGCAGCCTCCCAGGGAAATGGCACCTCTAACTTCAGGCTTATGTGCCATCATATGTACTGGGAGGAACGAAAGGCCACTGTTAGGGCATTTGACAGAGCCTCACCACGCTAACAGATTCTCCGGCCGGGGATGCCTGAGCTGAGCTCTAAAGAGAAACTGTTCAGAAAGTGTGTGGTAGAATAGAGAGGTACCTCTAGCACAGGATGAGTGTCCCACTAGCATGGGGTGGCATGGACCATGGCGAGAGCATGGTCTTTTCTGAGAGGGACTGGGCCCTGCTGTCAGGACTGGGAAAGCTATCCTAGAAAGATCACAGTGGCCAGGTGGTGGTGGTGACACACGCCTCTGAGACACAGACACAGGCAGATCTCTGATTTCAAGGCCAGATTAGTCTACAGAGAGGGTACCAGGACAGCCAGGAATACACAGAGTAACCTGTCTTGGAAGAAAACAAATAAACAATTTAAAAAAGAAAAAGAAAGTAAAGAGCCCAGTGACCTGGGTACAGGGAGGGGTCATAACAGATGATAAACCTGGTAGTGGGGTCAGCAGTAGCATAGTGAAGTAATGGAGCCCAGAACTGGGAGAGAGGAATCCGGATGCTTCCCAGGCCTGGAATCCAGTGGATAGTGGTGCCAGTTCAGACCTCAGGGAGTGTTCATGGGAAAGGTCATAGGTTTGGAGGCTAGAGACCCATGGGACAGACAGGGCAGGTGTAACTAGGCAATGGGTCTCCATACTTGGTCACTGAAGCTCTGAGCATAGAAGAGACTAATTGAAGAGAGACCAAAGGCTTAGAGCTAACTCCTGGCTTAACCCCCATCCCAGCCACATACCCTTATCTGTACACACAATAGTCTCCCACACCCCAGCCACCTGCACACACCTTGCTGCCTATCACTGGATAGGGCAAAGGGCAGGCAGTGGTCCCACTGGCAAAAAGGGGGTGGGTAGAACCATGGGTCTTTCTCTATCACGGGACAACTCCTAAGTTTGGAGACATCTGAAAGGAAGCTGTACCTTGGAGTGGGTATAGGATAGAGGATCCCTGCCAGCCATGCTTCTCCCCTTCTGCCTCACAGACTCTGAGGGCCTGGGCATCAGCATCATTGGCATGGGGGCCGGAGCTGACATGGGCCTGGAGAAGCTGGGCATCTTCGTCAAGACCGTGACCGAGGGTGGTGCAGCCCATCGGGATGGCAGGTACCACCCTTGTCCCACTCCCTTCCCCAAGTCCCTATTAGCGGTCACCCCTGGGGGGCAGCCTCTAGGAGGTCTGCGTGTGTTAGCTATGTCTTTGGATGTTCAAGAAGCACCGCTGTGCAGGTGCTGTGCCAGGCTTTGGGGTGACAGCCACGAACAGATGGAAGCCCTCCCCAGGGCCTGCACATTCTGTGGGGGAGGGGTGTGAAGCTAGGCTGTACCTAGTACGGTGTGTACTGGCTTAGGGTGTGTGTTGGCTCTCGTAAGAAGAACACGGCTGTGTGTCTGGAATAAGGCTTCACATTTCTTTCCCTTAACAAATACTAAGGGCATGACTCTCGCTGGGTTGGTGCCAGGCCCTGGCAGTCGGTGTAGAGGGCCTTGCCCTCAGAAAACAAGTAGTGTAATAAAGTAGACAGATACTAGACAGAACAAACAAACTGGCTGAATGGAGAAGAATATGAAGGCACAAAGTAGGCGGGCCGGCCATTGACGGGGCCGGCTTCTTAGAGGAAGTGATATTAAAAATGAGAACCAAAGGCCAAGCAGGAACTAGCAAGACAAGAGAGTATATTGAAGGTTCCTTGTAGCCAAGTAGAGTGGTGCATGCCTTTAATCCCAGAACTTGGGAGGCAGAGGCAGGTGGATCTCTGTGAGTTCCAGGACAGTCAAGGTCACATAGTGAGAGCCTGTCTTGAAAAACCAAAAACAAATATAAAAGGTTCCTTGTGAACCCAGGGCCTCATGCATGCAAGACCAGCTCTACCAACTGAGCCTGAGTAAAAAGGGTTCTAAGTCTGGGAACCAATGGCAGGAATGGAAGTAGCCAGGAATCCAGATGTGGATAGGATTAGGCTCGTTCTGGCCGTGTTCTGGAGCTGAAGTTGCTCATTGTTTGTGCATAGGTGTGTGCCTGTGTGGGACATCTGTGGTCAGAGGACTGGGGTTCTGGAACTCAGAAGGATCATGAAGGGCACAAGAGCACTGGCATCCGTGCCCCTCTTTAACAGATTCTCTGTTGTGTGTCACAGCGGGGAGGAAGTGGGAAGTGCTACAAGGCTTTCCCTCAGGAAGGCGGTGAAGGGTTGACACCCATGCCCTCTCCATGTGACAGAGATGAGGGTTGAGGGCTTGGTGACTGTAGGGTCATGTTGTTAGAGGCACGGGTGCCCAATTCACAGGGCTTTTGCCTGCAGTGGTCTAGGTGGCACGGGGGCAACGGGAACAGAAAGGATGGCATCCTTCCTGGCCTTTACTTCTCCCTCCCTTTGCAGAGCTTGGCTATGGTCACCTGTTTGCTAGTAAAGCAGAAGTGTGAGCTCATGGGCTAGTGCCCACGTGAGAATGTGGGCTAAAAGGGAGAAAACTGGTTATAATGCTGTATTCTCAAGACCTCCCAGGAGGTGGAAGCAGAGGAAGGAGGCGCCCAAGTCTTCCCACATCTGCATCCCCTCCCAGGCTAGGCTACTACCCTGTCTTCCTCTTCCACGTGGGGAGCCAGGACACCCCCACAGCTGAATTGTGTTGGAAGTGTGCAACTTCGTGGATGTGGATCGGTATATGAGCACGAGAGGGGCATGCTTGGATCTCACACATTGGGGAGGACATTGGGGTGATGGCACACATGCTTGTGTAGAAATGAGCTCTGAGCATGTCACCTCACCCTGTTGAGTGTGACTAAAGAGACAAGAGTGTGGTTGTTACAGGAAGTGTGCCTGCCACCTTTCCTGGTACTGGATAACTGCATCCGTGTTGCCGGACCTGCTGCTGTGAGGACTGGCCTTCATTCAGCAGCTCAGAAATTGAGGGGAACCATGGAGCGGGTGGATGAAATTTAATTCCCTGGGGCTGGCAAAAGGGAACACACACACACACACACACACACACACACGCCTTTAGGGTCTATCATCTCTCTCTCATTTCTTTGTTTCCTTTTTTTTACCTCTATCCAGATGTATTCTTTTTGTCTCTCTTGATGTCTTCTTTTAACTAACTGTATTTTTTTCCCTTATAACTTATGTACCCCATCAGAATCTTTCAAATACAAACATTACAGTGTAGTTACATTTTATTTTTTAAGTGAATGATTAATGAATATAAGTAAATGCTATGGAATAATCCTCCTTAAAGCCATGAGCCATTTGGCAAAATGAAGATTAATAGAAATGGGTTAAATTAAGTTGTAAGAGCTAGTTAATAAGCCTGAGCTACTGGCCAAGCATTTATAAATAATCTAAGCTTCAGTGTGGTAATTTGGAAGCAGGTGCTGGGATAGGAAAACTCTGTCTACAAGAAAACACCAACATATTTCCTATTTCCCTTACATGATTAAACATTTTCTGTATTACAGTTGAGAAACAAATTATTTTCAATAACCCGTACATTCATGTCCAAGCAACTTGTTAAAATTAACAGGGCATAAGCAAGGTATTTTCTCAGCCAGTTCTTTTACTGGCAGGCTGCATTTTGCAGTTACAAGGAAAGGATCAATCACTTTATTATTTATTTATCATAAAAGGTAATCTTATAAAAAATCTTTTAAAAAATCACAAATCTAAACTTTTATATATGGAAACTGTCAGCTCTACTTTCAATCCTCAGGGTGCATACCTATTTATCAATAGCTTTTTATATCAGGAAGTTAAGGGCAGAAATGAGTACAAGAAATTAATCATCACCTTTGATCACCAACCCATCCTAGCAAGAAAGGCACGTCAGCTAATAATAACCAGACTATTTTTGTTCTTGTTTCTCGACCTCAATGAGTCCCTCACTCAAATAAGTGCCGTTTTAAACTTTAAATTGTTCCCCAAGACTTTCTACCTTAAAGCCATTAACAAAAACACCTTACCTAACCTTACTAACAATTCTACATGTCTAAATTCTTTCCAAGGGTGGTGGTTGAATCATTAATCTGCTCCAGCAGCTATGCTTGGAAAAAGTCAATCACTATTATTGTAAGTACCAGTACCACTGCCCAGTGAGTACTGAGCATTTTCACACAGCTCATAAATAATGAGGGCTGTGGTGACCATGAAAGCAACCATCAGGACTGTGCTCGATAACAGCATGAAGTCCTCAGGACACATAGACCTTGGGGCTTTGCCTCTCCAGGGCTCTACTCAGGAGTGGCTTTGCCAACCGCCAAGCCATGTTCCATGAGTTCCAGTGCTGCCTGTTGGTCCCCTTGCATGGCCCCGGACACCTGGCTGTCTCTGTTCTCACATATTTTATGCTGGAACCTTGTGGGGACTAAGCCTTGGGTTTCTGGTGCGAAGAGTTCACCTTTGCCCCGCCTCCTGTTCCTCTCAGGACACCCTAACAAATGTCACTTCCTCTAGGATCCAAGTCAACGATCTGCTGGTGGAGGTGGATGGAACAAGCCTGGTGGGAGTGACCCAGAGCTTCGCAGCCTCTGTCCTCAGGAACACCAAGGGCCGAGTGCGGTGAGAGCCCAAAAGGGACCAGGCAGGAAGCTGGCCCCTCGGGGCGCCAGTTTGCTATCAGAGGGACTTGGACTTGCAGCCCTTCCCCCAGCCCTGCCTTCTCATCTCTAATCCCTGGATACTGCTCACCACTGCAACTCAGGCTTCCAGGCCCATGTTCTTCCATGCTCTCCTCTTGGCTTATTCTCCTTCCCTGCTGCTGCCTCCGACTCACCTATTAAAACGCAGAATGCTGCCAACTGAACTAGGTTTTCCTACCTAGAGATCCATCCCCACCCCGTGTCCTGTTAGGAAGGCTGCTCCATTGGGTTGAGTAGAAGTTTGTGTGCGCCCTTGGCAGGACACCTGGGGATCGTCCCTCTTCCAGAGGGTGCTGGAGAGTAACAGGATGTGGGTGACTGGGGGGGAGGAGCTGGTGCCTGGAAGTCCCACTGTTTCCTCTCCATGCTAATCTGTAGTTGCCATCATCCTGCCCCTTCCTGAACAGGGGCTTGGAACACACCCAAGACACACCTCGAGGGTTTATTCCCCGTCCCCTAGGATGGGTCATTTTGGCCACTCCCCTGCTTTGTTTTGCTTTCTCTTCGGTGGGAAAAGCTCCTATGTTGAGAGCTCCTGAGCTCATGTAGCCCAGCCCAAAGTTGGGCTGACATCCCCTTCCCAAAGCAGGCCAGGAAGGCGAGCAGGTCTTCCTGCCTCTCCTGAGAGGCAGCCCTGTGAGTGCCCCATCTCCCCCATTCATTATTAATTCCACAGCTTCTGGACTCAGGCTCTCCCTTCCCCTCCCCTGGGAGGGCCTCGGTTTGGAGGGAGGGAACACCACAAGGAGGGCAGAGGCATTCCCAGCTGTAGGCAGACTGAGATGACAGATGACTCTGGTGCCCCTGCAGGTTCATGATTGGCCGGGAGCGGCCTGGAGAACAGAGTGAAGTGGCCCAGCTAATTCAGCAGACTTTGGAGCAAGAGAGATGGCAGCGGGAAATGATGGAGCAGAGATACGCCCAGTATGGAGAGGATGATGAGGAGGTAGGGGCTCTGCATGGTTGCCCTCTGGTGGCTGGATGAAGCGGTGCAGTCATTTGCCTCTACTTTTTTCAGGCCCGGTAAAGAAACTCAAACCAGGGGAGCTTGTGATCTGAGAGAGGAAGACCCTCCCCTCAGAGGACCCCTGGTCAAACGGAGGACCCCAGTCTCTGTCTTCAGAGGGTATCCCTGTAACTAGAAAGAAAGCATAGTCCCCTCTGAGTCCTTATTCTGAGAGCAGGGTAGAGCCCTTAATCAAGGGAACCTGATCTCGGGTGAGGAATGGGTCTTCCAGGAAGCTGTGTTCCAGGAAGTTTCTCCAGAATCTTGCAGTTTGCCTGTCCTAGCCATGGAGACTCCCCTGGCCGCGCCCTGTCTGACACGAGCACACTGCTGCTGGTCTCAGGCCTGGCAGCAGGGTTGCTGAGGGAGGTGGAGTCAGTGGGCCCACGTTGTCTTCATCCCTCCACAGACAGGAGAGTATGCCACCGATGAGGATGAAGAGCTGAGCCCCACATTCCCAGGCGGCGAGATGGCTATCGAGGTGTTCGAACTAGCAGAGAACGAAGATGCACTGTCCCCTGTGGAGATGGAGCCCGAAAAGCTGGTGCACAAGTTCAAGGAGGTTGGAGGAGAGGCTCTGGGCGGTGGGGGAAGGCAGGTGGGTAGCTGGCCCTAGGCGCTGAGTGCCACCCTCTGTCTGCAGCTCCAGATCAAGCACGCCGTCACTGAAGCGGAAATACAGCAACTGAAACGGAAGGTGAGGGTACACGCGCACATGTACACGTGGGTGCGTGTTGAAAAGCTGGGCTGAGGGCTGGAGGAAGGAGCCCAGACTTCACACGGGCACGGCCCCCACACCCTCAACAGACAACATTCCACCATGGGCTCCTGTAAGGCCATGGATAGCAGGACTAAGATCCCAAGCTCTGGCCCATCTGTTTCATTCATTGGGTCTCCATCCCCTCATATATAAGGGGAGGAATAAAAGCACTGCCAACATCATAGAGCTGCGTAGGTGAGAAACTAATGAGCTGCTACCTGGACATCTGCAGCAAATGCAGGAAGTCTGCAACCTGGTACAGAGTCAGCACTTAGTCAGAAGTCAGAGTGTCAACAGTGCCATATAGATAAACCAGCTCTCACTCTTGCTGTCTGTGTTTACTGTTCAGTGCACATCCACTCTGCACAGGCCTAGGGATAAGAGCGGTTCTTTGACTATGTAAGGTACAGAGGTGCACATAGTGACCCATTCACCCAGACGTCTGCACACTCCTGTCTGTACAGACATTATTTTCTGTGATTGATTCTGCCAGGGGCATTGGCCTGAATAGGTAGATCCACTCTGCCTTTGAGGTCACAGAAACACATGAACATGACCACCCTTCAGGGTGCCTGACCTAGGAAGAACGTTCGAATTGTCACCTGGGCCAGCAGCACACACACTGGTGCTAACAGCACTAGCTGGTGACACACATGGCTACTGTACATGCATACCAGATGCTTACAAGCACATTGGGTACCCACACACTCCCAGGCGTTGTAGACACCAGACTCTATATTGAAGGAGTCCCAACTCCCACGGGGTTTCCAGGGTAGTGGAAGAAACCGATCCCAGGGGCCATGAAGATGCAGCACAACAGGGATGTGTGTGTTCTCTCCCACATAGATGGAGGAGAGCAGGGAATGGGTGTCTGGGGCAGAACAAGGGTATCTATAGAGGAGGAAGATTCCAGCTGACTTTGGGAGGAGGCCTCTTGGGGATGGTAGCTATTTCTGTGGGGAGATGTAAGAGGCAGCTGGGTGGTGGGAAAGCTAGCTAGAAATGGCATTGTATAGACCTCACCCCTCCAAGAACTATAGCCTTGGTTCTACAGGCACGGAGCTGTGGCCCCTAGAGGTGTTTTGTTTTGGAAGTTCACCAACTAGGAAATGGGCGTGGGGGCGGAGCTCAGGAGTGAGAAGGACTTGGATATGATTAGAGGCCTAGGCAGGGCCTAGGGGTGAGTCAGAGTACAGGTCAAGCATGGAAAGGAAGGGCAAGTGAGACTAGATTTTTGAGGGTGTTTTCAAAGCATGAAGCCGAGGGTGGGTCCCAGGTGGTTTCAGGTTCAGAAAGCAAAGAGACATTCAGTTGAAAGACATCTAGGCTAACTTCTAGACATCCAATGCTGCTTCAGGCACAGTTAGGAGCAAAAGCAGAGTTAATCCTTGTCCTTGTGTGTCTTAGAGTGTGTACACCATTGACTGTTGTTACTCCCTGATAAGTTCTGTAGGAGAAGGGTTACTGAGGCCCTGAAACAGGAAGAACCCCATCCAGTTGGTGGGGTGCTGCCCTCCTGAAGTCTTAGCAGACTTTTCTGGGGAAATGATGCACAGCAGGTGTACGAGGAAGGGTAGATGAGGCATTCCTAGCAGAAGGAACAGTACCCGCAAAGGCCCAGTGGCAAGTCTGCGGCTCCACAGGAAGGCTTGAATTATCTAAGTTTAGAAAATGTGAGGGTTCGTACCAGGCAAGGCACAAGGACAACCAGGAACTGGAAACTGAGTACTGGGTCTGCTGTGAGGCAGTGGAACCTTCTCCCAGGCAAGCAAGCCAGGAAAGCTGGCTTCGGATGGGGGAGGGTCCCATTTTGTGAAAAGCTGGGAGGTAGAAATGGAAGTTAGGTACAAGATCTGGCAGGACCTAAGGGTTTGGGGCTGTGCATAGCAGTGGTGTGGGAGGTGGGGTCTTGTCTTGAGGAATGGTGAGGAGAGAAGAATGCAGACTGAGCTGTTGGGAATGCAGGTTACCTAGGAGCTGGAGATGGAGAGGGGCTGGATTGTTGAAGGATCTCCAGGGTAGGGGCTGGTCAGCACACCAGGGCTGCAAAGGGTGCGAGCTGGTGGTGACTGTTTCATATCTGTCATCTCACTAGCCCTGAGGCATGTCACTCCCATCTTCTGGCTAAGGCAGAAGTTGCTGATCAAGTGACTCTTGTGTGCCTGCTACCCCCGAGTCAGCCTCAGAGAGTTAGTAGTTGGGGTCCAGTAGCCTGCACAGGTACAGAAATTCCTAAAAGACTGTTGACTCCCTGGCTCACTCTGGTCCCCTCTAACCCAGGGCTGCTCTTTCTTCATAGTTGCAGAGTCTGGAGCAGGAGAAAGGGCGCTGGCGGGTGGAGAAGGCCCAGCTGGAGCAGAGTGTGGAGGAGAATAAGGAACGGATGGAGAAGCTGGAGGGCTACTGGGGTGAGGCCCAGAGCCTGTGCCAGGCTGTGGATGAGCACCTACGGGAGACTCAGGCCCAGTATCAGGCCCTGGAACGCAAGTACAGCAAGGCCAAACGTCTCATCAAGGACTACCAGCAAAAGTATGTGTGAGGAGCTTTGCATCTGGGTTCAAGCAGGACAGAGAGGCCTTCAGTGGTAGTCCCCACCCCAGCCTTTCTCCAGCTGAGTAGGGAGACACAGAGTACAGAAGTTAAAGGGCAGCGTGGTGGGGTACCTGAGCTGAATACCAGACCCAGGCCCTAGAGGCCCTGGGAAAACCTGCTTCTCCCTGAACTGAAGCCATACCATAAACCCTAACCCATCATCTCTTCCCTCCCTGCCTGTCTCCAGGGAGATCGAGTTCCTGAAGAAAGAGACTGCCCAGCGTCGGGTACTGGAAGAGTCGGAGCTAGCTAGAAAGGAGGAAATGGACAAGCTTCTAGACAAGGTAGAGCCTGGGTGCCCTGGGCAGCCTCCAGAGGGAGCAGCATTGAAGCCAGAACCAAAGGAGACCACTCTGTTGATGTTTGGGAAGGATTGTATTGCTGGGGTCAGAGCTGGGGTTTAGGAGCAGGATGCATCCTCAGTGGCCAAGCCTGATATTCCCTCTCTGTTTTTTAGATCTCAGAACTGGAAGGAAACCTGCAGACCCTGAGGAATTCTAATTCTACTTAACAGGAATCGCTCCTTGACTGGACAATAATAATCCACTCCCATTATCCACACCCCCTGTCCTCAATCCCCACCCCGCCCCTACCAGCCTGGGGACAGGTGCCCCGACTTCCCCCACTCCTCCACCCTACCTCCCCAGCTTCAGGGACCAGAGGGCCCATATCACAGGCCCCTTTAGGGTGGCCCGGGCAGACAATGGTGGCTGGAAGAGTGGCCTCCTTGTTCTATGGGACTGAGGTACAGAGGCCGAGAGAAGCTGAGAGCTGACCTGGGTGGTGGATGGACACAAGGACCTGCAGACCAAACTGCCAGACTTTACAACCTCCAGCCTGTGTCTCTAGACCGGAGTGGAGCTGGGGCTCTCCCAGCATCTCACCACTTGGAGGCTGCTCCCTGCCCACAGGGTCCGTGTGGCCCCTGGGCCTCTTGACTTGAGATTCGACTTTCTTGGCCCTTTCCTCTTCCCTATCATTGTGCTGTCTGTTGCATTCTGGCCTCCTGCTTGGAGGGGTTGCCTCAACATCTCCCACCCCTGCTCCCCATCCCAGGAGGGATAGAGCCCACCCTTGAGCCAGAGGCTGGGCCTGGTCCTGCACTGATTTCTCGTATCCTTGGTGGTGGGGAGAGCTGGAGTAGGGGAAAGGATGAGTCCAAAATCCAGTCCCTTTCCTAGGAAGGGCAACAGCCCTCAACTTCTTGTGCCTCCCCTTTCCCAGGTGCCAAATAGCCATAGCCTCCTCCTGGAACTGTCCTGAGGCCACTCTGGGGTTCAGGTTTCCTTGGTCTAGCCTAGGAATGCCAGGAGGGAGGGAGGTCAGCTTAGGTGGTGTGCCTGCAGAGCTCTCACTGGGGAGCTAGGCCCTGCCCAGGGTCACACCTGGAAGCCTTGTATTACCATCAAAGAGACTCAGCCTCCCCTCCTCCCCTTCCCCACCATTTTCCAATGTTATCACTGGAGGGTAAAATTTTACTAATCTTTTTGGAGACCAGGGCTGCTTGCTGTCAGCCTGCTTTCTAAGTGAAATTGACTCAGTTTCCCCACTTTAACCCCAAATTGGGGCTTGGACCAAGGGAGGTGAGACCCCCTCAGGTACCCTCCCCTTTCAAAATCCATCTCATTTTGCCACTTCCACAATCCCCGTCCCAAGCCTAGATTTCTGTTCGTTGTTTTTTTGGTTTTGTTTTTTGTTTTTTAACAACCCGGTTCTATCCTTTTTGGCTTCTCCTAGACCCCTGTAAATAGACCATACCATCAATCAGTATTTCTTGCCTCTCTTCCGCCCCCAGACGTTCCCCCACTTCCCAGAAAGAGCTGGCTGTCACAGTGCCCGGCCCCAGCACTTCACCTAGGCAGATGGAGGGGGCGGAGCCGGGTGGGCGAGTTCTCGATGTACTTCCGGTTTTGACCGGCAGCGCTCTTGCCCCGCCCTTGGAGGACCCCGTCTCTGTATATAATATATATATATATGTATGTATTGTTCCTGGTTTTGTACGGACCATGCCCTCTGTCAGGTCGTCCCCATAAAAGCAGCCCCCAGAGCCTCGCTGCCTGGTTTTTTGATGCGCTGGAGGGGGAAGAGGGAGGGATACCAGAAGGTCCCCTCCTTTTTCTAGTTTTGCCCAGGACTTAGAGAGGATCTCAATGCCAGTTCAAATCTCCAACCCGTCTTAGCAAACTCACTTGACACCATTGCCCAGTTTTTGTGGTGTCTCTAGACAGGTTTTTCAGGTCTTCCTTTCACAAGGTCTTTAGGGCAAGCCAGAGGATAGACAAAAGGAACTCCCTACTGAGAACTAAGCAGTCTGTAAGACCCCAGAGGTCTCCTATGAAGTACCAGGAAAACCAAAGAGTTCTTGGGTGACCTAGGAGATAACTTTCAGAGCACTGTTATCCCCAAGGTCACAGAGAAGGTTCTTTGGCCTGGGCTGGCTTGAGAGGTCTGCAGTAGTCCTAACTGCCCCATTAGCTAGCTCCCAGTTCCAGGAAGAAGTTTGGGTGTGCACCAGAAGCGAATGCATGGAGCCCCGCAGTAGACAGCACAACCTTTTCTGGCACAGGAGCTGGGAGGCAAATCTTGTGCTTTAGTAACTTGAACCCTGGGGGACTCTCATCTTCCCTTCTTCCGATAAGAAACAAAAGTCCCAATCTTCAGGCTCTTAGGTCACTTTGCTTAGCCCCTGACAACACCAGAGATGAGTGGTCTCTATAAGAATTCCACAAACAGCCCCTGAGGCAGCCATTCCCTAGCGGGTAATTCTGTCACAGAACCTGTTCATGTAGAGCCATGTAGTGGCTTCCTGTTGACTATCCTCAAAACCGGTTCTGCAACCTCAGGGCCATGTCCATCTCTGACACCTACCTTACAGTCAGGGAACTGGCAATGGTGGTGGCCTCTCAGGGCATTTCCTCCCCTCACATCATCCTTGGCACATTGGGGACCCTGGGAATGCTGCAGGTAGATCCTGGTGGGCCTGAATTCCATGACAGATTCCCTAAATGAGGTCTCAGGTCATCATGCCTAGGTTAGAAGTCCCTGTTTGGGAAAACTTGCCAAGAAATGAAGCAGTTGGAGCTTCCTGGGTGGGGGAGACAAATGGATTTGAGGTAAGAGCTTCTAGTCTGACAGTCCACGTGTCTAATGGGGAAGGCCTGTGTCCCGTACCTACCCTGTATGCTATGTGAGGAGGGGTCCTCTCCTAGATGTTCAAAGGAGTGGCTGAGTAGCACTTCATGTTTAAGTAGGAATGTGTTGTTAGCCTGGGGACCTTCTGTATGGCTTTTCTGGGAGTTTCTCAGGCAGGCCTGAGCAGTGACTTACCCATGAACAAGTCCATTTGAGGGGGGGGGCTGTCAGGTTGTCAGGTGGTGCAGGCAGACTGTGATGTTTGTCATCTCAACTCCCCCATCTCATCCATTACCATCATCTACTGAGTTGTTAGAACTAGAGCAGCCCTGTCACAACCCTGACACTTGCTGTAGAGAAGGGATATTAAAGGGGCCCCTACCGCCCCTGCTAGATCCCAGAACCTTAGGCCTGAATAGGAAAAGGCTCATTCCAGCACTGAAACACCCACACACCTCCTATAAAGACCCTAGAGCAGCAGTTCTCAACCTGTGGGTCACGACCCCACTGGGGGCCTCAAACAACCCTTTCACGGGGGTCACCTAAGACCATCAAAAACACTGTTATTTACATTTAGTTACAATTCATAACAGTAACAAAATTACACTTCTGAAGTAGCAATGAAAACAATATGGTTAGGGACTATTAAAGGGTTGAAGCATTAGGATGAGAACACTGCCCTAGAGCCAGCCTGCATAGGTGGTCACCAGAGACATCATGTCCTCCACGTGAACCTACAGTCTAACCAGACTTCAGCAGATTTTGAAGATACCCAGAGGTCCTCGAGCTCTGGGGTGCTCTGAACCCCATTGATACCGTCCCCACTCCGTTCTAGGGACCTCTTGATTCAAGATGAGTTGAGATGACAAACATCACAGTCTGCCTGCACCACCTTACAAGGGCTGCCCACAGGCCCTTGGTAGTCTCCCATTCCAATGAGCCACCAGGAGTTCTCTCCAGACCCTACAAATTTCACTAAGTGCCTAGACTTTCTCCAAGGTCGTTATTTGCTCCTGAACAAACCATTTTCTTTATGAATCTGTGTATCTTAGAGGAACCTGGCGCTTGTTACTTGGTACCGAATATGCCCTAAGTCTTGCTGCATGGTAGCTAATGTGATTGCACCCAGCGCCGCCGCCACCACATTTGACCTGCCACCATCTCCGACTCACCAGGTCCAAGTCTGAGCTCATCCACTCAACCCTACCCCCTAGCTTCAGAACTGCCAGGGCCCCAGACAAGATCCACAGCCATCCTAGACCCCTCCTCTCAATTCTTTGTCCAGCCGGCTCCAAATCCTGTCTGTGCCTTCAATTCTATAGCCAGAATTGCTCTCAGCTTGATCTTTAATCTTCATGCCCACTATCGTCATCTTTCAACAATCCCTTGAGGCCAGTGCCAGACTTCCGGTGTCCCCCTGCAGTCCGTTCTCCACTGGGGTGCCCAACGAATTTTTCTAAAATGCATGTTGAAGCTCCTCCCTCCTCGGTTAATCTTTTTTTTGGGGGAGGGGGTTGCAGAATGAATCAACCTTCCAGTCTCAGCTCATTTTCCCCGTTGGTCCATCCACCCGGCAATGCCCATGAATAAGTCTCCTGTAGCCTGGCCTGCAGTAGCCACACACCTCTAGGAATCCTCCCTGTGCCCTACTCCAGTGCCTCGGGTGCACGCCCCCTCCCGAACTTGAAGTGTCTTTTTCGTTCCGGGACCCACAGCTCTCAATCTTGGGAAGTCCCACTTGGCCAAACCCTGACAGTACAGGTACGCTCCAGCTTCAGCGGTCAGGCTGGTTGTTCAGCGGATGCTTGTTGAATAAAAGAATCAGAGAATTAGGAGCCCTCACAGACCCTGCAGAAGGGGCGGAAAGCCCCGTGCGTCCCCAAACGGGACCGCCTCCTGGTCGCTTCCCTGCCGCTCGCCCGCTCCTAGCGCGCAGACTCCCTAGCACCACGACTCCGGCGGTCCGAGAAGTAGCCGGGCAATTGGGATCCCGGGCCCCCGCCGCGGGCACCCGCTGCCTCCTCCCCTCGGTCCTTGCGGTCTCCGCCCCGCCCGCCCGCCTCCTCCCTCTCTCCCTCCCGCTCTTTGTCTCCGGGGTGACCGGCATCCCCACAAGCGCCCCCCGCGTTGCATTATTCCAGGCGACCCCCACGGACCTAGCCACCGCGACGCTGCACAAATCGGCCTGTGGCGCGAGGGTCCAAGATCCGAGGGGCTTGGCGGGGGCGGGGCGGGAGGTGGTTCTGGCTCTCAGAAGCTCTCTCTCTCTCTCTCTCTCTCTCTCTCTCTCTCTCACACACACACACACACACACACACACACACACACACACACACACACACACACACGAACACGCACGCACACACGGAACATCCTCCCGTCAGGTTTCCCGGTCCAGCCCCGCCCGCGTCTCCTGCTTCCCGCAGACCTTCTCCCTGCATCCTTACACACCTCGCCTCTCCATTCTTTCCGGCTGGACCCTCCCCTCCGATTCCCCCACAACACTCTGGGATGGAGCAACTGGAGCCAGCCCGAAGCCCCCCGCGGCCGGGGTGAAAGTCCTCCACCCCTCTCACACCCGGGACTCGCCTCGAGCACCATGGGCCTGAGGGGTTCCCGGGGCGCTGAACGCTGAAAATGACAGATGCTGGAGGTGAGGGGCCGGGACTCCTAGGGTGGAAGGGGAAGCGGGGCCAGAGACTACCGGACTCTAGGTGAGACCCTCCAGTGGGGCTAGATGAATCTAAGCCACAAGGGCCTTTCTTCCTCCATCCCTAGGGAGACCTCACTGGACCAGGGAGCTGGGCTTGTCGGGAGGGAACAGAAATAGGATTTGCGTCCCTAATCCTCTTCCTCCTGCCTGGGGAAATTAATTTTAAAAAAGAAAAGAAAGAAAGAAGAGAAAAAGAAAGAAAAACTGGTGTGGGGGCTGGGGGAGAGGCCTTAACTCCTTCCTACCCGGGCAGTTGGACTGGTGGGTTGGAGAAACAGCTCTACCCTCTGATTAGGGAGAGGGGACTCTCTTGATAGGAGTAGGTGCCGCTCCCCAACCCCATCTTCTGTGGCGCTTTGAGGGGCTGTCAAACTCCTGCGGACTGCTCCAAGCCTGGAGCTGGCTTAAGACTGCTGGCATGGGAGGGGCATGGCCTTCTTGGCTCTACAACTGCCTCCCCATGCCAGCCTACAGTCAACCACTCTTGCGACCTGTCAGCTGCCTCTCTCCCTCTGTCTCCCTTTCCCTCTCACTCCCTCTTCTACTTGGGCCCCCTTCTCCCCTCTGCCTTGTGGGCAGGTGTTCTGTTCTTCTCCCACCCCATGGTGGGCCCTCAGGGATGCCCAGCAGCGTTTCCTGAGCCTCTTGGGTCTATTCTGTCTTGATCTTTCTTCTCAGCTCCCTGTGGACGCTGTCAGTCTCTACCTCTGGGTCTGCTGGTTGCTCCTTCTGTTCCATTCCCAAGTTGTATACCTTTTGTTTTGCTTTCTCCTTCCCTTGGGCTCAGGGTATCTTGGAAATCACCTGCCTTTCCTTTTCCCAGAGAAAGGTCAGAGGTCACCAGTGGCCCATTAGGAATTGGCGTCTGTTGGGGAAGGGAGTGGTCTGATGACAAGGGAACCCAAAGGCTGTCGAAGGGAACAGGTTCATTTCCACCCTGGTATAGCTGAACAACACCGGTGAGTGGGAGAGTGCGTGTCTGACGGGGAGGATGGGTGAGGCTGAGTGTTTGGGAGAAGATAACTGGGTAGAAGAGGCAGGTGACCCCCCAGATGTTAGGCTTCCATGGAGTTTCGCATGGGATAGTGCAGAAAACTTCCCCCACAGAAACGGGACCTGGCTGTTCAAGAGAGAGATAAAGAAAAAGGAACAGTTTGTGCTGAATCAGGTTGGGCTGAGAGTCGGACCTGGAGGCCCCCAGT